CCTGGGAATCACCAAGGAAGGTCACCCCACCCCCAGCCATTACTAAACCCACTCTATTGAGGAAGAGGAGAAGAAGAAAAACAGATTCCCATATACACGTTCATCATTTTACCATTGACAAAGCACTTTCATATGTTATTCAGTTTGCCGAACCCCGAGAGAGACAGAACAGGTGTCCGCGTGCCCATTTGCAGTGGGAGTTCAGGGTCAGGGAGGGGAAATGACCCCCTAAGTTCTCACGGCTGGTCTCACTCAAGCCCAGGCCTCTCATTCCCAGGCCATTGCCCTTTCCCTGCGCTGAACCTCTAAGGCAGTGGTTCTCCACCTTCCTAATACAGTTCCTCATGTTGTGGGGATCCCCAACCATAAAATTATTTCCATTGCTACTTCATAACTGTAAATTTGCTACTGTTATGAATCGTAATGTAAATATCTGATATGCAGGATGTATTTAGGCGACCCCTGTGAAAGGGTCGTTGGACCCCCAAAGGGGTCGCGACCCACAGGTTGAGAACCGCTGCTCTAAGGGCTTTGCTGGAAGCACGTCTGGACAACACTTCCCATTCAGACCCACTCTCAGTGCTGGGAGGGGTGGCTGAGATGGATTTACACAGCAAAGGGCTTGGGGTTCTCCCCAAGGAGAGTCTTCCTGTGCTTTCTCCTACCCTGCACTGTCCGCCTCACCCAGCCACATTCAGGCTGAGCTCCTGGCCTCTGGCCACCTCCTGGCCTCTGTCAGCGGAGGCTCCCCCTTTACCCTGGTTTTTGTACCCAAATCTCCTTTTTCTCCCTTCTTCCTCCCTGGTTATCAGACATCCTCCACATGTGTCCAGCCATTCACGCCGGGCTCCACGCCCCTCCGCCACACGTCTGCACCCACAGGAGGGCCCTGGTCCCGAGGGTGGCACAGCTGTGTCTGCTCACTAGCAGGTGTCACCTCCATTTCTCGCCACTGATCGCATCCCCCTTTCTATTTCCTCGTTCACTTGTTTGGTTTAGCACTTTTTCTTTCTTCTGCCCCATACCTGCCTCCTTCACCTGCTTTGCAACTCATCTCAGTGCCTACGGGGATGCTGCAGGGCTGAACCATTGGTGGTATCCAAAACAACAAGAACCAAATATCAAAATAATGAATTATGCCCAGCCAACATGGCTCAGTGGTTGAGTGGCGACCTATGAACCAGGAGGTCACGGTTCCATTCCTGGTCAGGGTACCTGCCCAAGTTGTGGGGTCCATCCCCAGGGTAGGGCATGCATGAGGCAGCCAATCAATGATTATCTGTCATCACTGATGTTTTTATCTCTTTCTTCTTCTTCCTTCCTCTCTAAAATCAATAAAAATATATTTAAACACACACACACACACACACACACACACACACACACACACACACACATTACCAGGCCTGGTTGAAGCAAAGATTCTTAAAAAGATATGGGTTCTAACAAGATCAGTTGTTTGAATTCTACCTGACCCCACCTAGAGAGTGGGGTCACCAATACACCTTCGGAATACAGGTAAATCATCTGAAATGGCCTCATCCCTCAGCCCCTGGCTGAGAACTATGAATTGGGTTGAAAAGCCCTGACTGGGATTTGGGGCACAAATAGGTGTGGGAAGAAGTGGGAAGGAAGAAACTTTTTTTTGAGGGGCGGGGGTGAAGGGCCCAATTACATTACCTCATATTAGAGTTCGTTGTGGACCTGTCTATCTCCCCAAAAGGACTGAGAGCTCACAGAGGGCAGGGGTCTGCCATCTCCCTCCCATTCCCCTGTCCTCCCAGTCCCAGCCCTGGGACTATGCCACGTGCTATGTAGACATTCAACAAATGCCTGCTTTCCTTAATGTCGCGTATACAGCCTTCTAATTACATTAAACACAGACCTATCTCCAAATGTCCAGCTCACACCTTTAAAATTTCTCACTTCCTTACCTTTTTGTTGTTTCTCAAATATTTTGGGGCCCATATTAGCCTGAATTGCTCATGAAAAGATAAGCCTCTACCGGAACTACGAGTCTTCTGTATCACTGTGGTCCCATGCCCAGCACCGAGGAGCTGCTCAATAAGTGCATTTGGAATAAAATTGAACTAAATGAAGAAAGTGGCTCTGATAGTCCATTGACTGCTCAGTTTCTCTCTGACTGAATAAGATTTGCAGCTATTTTAATTAGGACATGAGAGAGTGCGTGAAGTCTGATCCTCACCTGTGGGAGGTCGTGGAGACCTCACAGCACCAGAGTCCCACTTCCCCTATGAATCTGAGCAACAAATTCCCCCAAGCCTATCGATACTCTAGAAACACCGCAAGAGAGAGGCTAGATTTACAAGGACGGCAGCATTATGGTCACTCACCAGCCAGCCCATCTGCGGCTCCATCCAGAATTCTTGTGCCGTTTCCCCTTCTGCGGGGAAAAAGGAATCTCCAGGTAACACGGGTAACCTGTTCCTCGTGAACTGGAGCCCATGCAGGTCTGACTCCCTCTGCTCCTTGCTTCTCTGCACGGTCCTCACTCGTTCAGGAACAGGTAGCCTTTGTCCCCCTTTTGACTTGCGCTGCCTGCATGCAGACAATGGTGTCCTTCTCAGCCACAGACACATCTCAGTGCGGATCGGGGAGGTGATGCTCTGGTCGGGATGCCTTGGAAGGCTGCTGCTTCTTTCAGAGGCCCCAGAAGCTGTGGTCTCGCGTCTATAGATCTTTCCCGAGTCATCGCCACTTACATCTCACAGGACACTCAGCAGGTGGGCCACTCTTCCATCACCCATGCAGGTTGTCTTGGTTACTTCCCAGTGTTGCATCCTCCAGGTTCACCCTTGTGAAGACGGGGTATCTTTGTCTGATATACATGGCCCCATGTGATTCTGGGGATTCCTCCTAGGTTTTCTTCTTCCCTCTTCTTTGCGTTCTTACCTCTCTTATTAAACACACCTCTCCCTGCTCCATCTCTCTCCATTTCTCTGATCTCTGGATTGTGCACAAATTCGGTGCCATTACTTGTCAATCCAATCCTCCAATCTTTTCGTATTTACAACCTGCACATTCTCCTTTGACTAAAGCCTCCACAATGCTACACTGGCCAGTCAGGAGATCGGGCCAAAGAGTGTGAAGGATGCTGCTGGCATTGAGTCTGTGCTCAGAGGAACCCTCCCTGGGTGGCGAGGAAGCCGGGATTGAGGAAACAGCTCCTTGCAGGCTGACAAGTTGGGAAGCAGGAGGCTCCGTGTTCTTCTCTACAAGCAAATGCTCACGAGGCTGATTCACAGGCCTTTCCATTCGTCCCGAGCCCAGACGAAGTGAGACAGGAGCTTCCTATTGACCGAGCTGCCCAGCCTTGTGCCTTTGCTCTGGAGAGTCGGTGATGCCTGCCCCAGCACCCATCTATTTCTTCTCCTTTAATTGCCCTGGAGGAAAACAAAGAAAATTTGATTTTATTATAAGCCTGGGGCTTCTTTGTAGTGCGGTGGAGCATCTTAATGGCATTATAAGTAAGTGGCGATAATGGCCTTGGAGAAGGAGATGAAGGACCTTTTATCTGAGACTCAAGCAGAGAGCCGTCAGAATACTGGCATGAAAGCTGGATGGGGAGAAGGACTCCAATAAGTTGTCAATAAAGCTGCCACTCTGGCTGGCAGCCAAAGCCACAGTGGAGGTTGGGGTGCTGCTACCCAAGATGCAAGGGGGGCCCGGTGATGCCTATAATTATGCAACTGATATATATACTCAGAACTTTGGCCACCTCTTCCTCAGACCTTCTATGCCTGCCTTCAAACCTTCTGGTGCCTTTCCTCATCCCTCAAACCAACCCCAATCCTCCAGGCTTGCTTTGCTACGTCCCCTGCTTATGCGGCATCTCAGCAATTTCTCTCCCTGTGAACAGGTCCCTGGATTCAGTGACATGACCACAGAGCCGTCCCTGGTACCTTCTAACTTTTGGTTCTTAAACCAGGTTACGTGGAACCGAGAAAGGCCGGGGTTGGGAAGCCCAGGACAGGATCGGTACATCTCCCTGGTGTATCGATTTCACTCAGCAAACTGGGCAAAACGTTAGATAGTTTAACTGGAAACTTTGGAACGATTTTTTATCTTAAAGCCAAAATGGGTATATGACGGAATATGAAGTCAATCCACATGATGCTTTAAGATCAACCTCAAAGGTTTTCATGCTTGTGGAAGCCCCTCTGGGCGGTCTCTGGACTTTCCCAGCTACCTGCTTACTCTGTCCCAATGCTATGGACGCCCGTGGAAAAGTCCACCGTCACCTTCTTGTTTCTTCTCACCTGTCTCCAGATACCTTTCCCAGGTCATTGAAAAGCATTTGTTTGTCTCTCTCAGCTTGCATTTTTCCCAACTCTTTTTCAAAATGAACTCTTCCTCCAGAAACTCCCCTGACTCCCAACTAATGATCAAAGCCTCTACCTTTAAAATCTCTCTATAATCCCTTTAAGGGATATACAAGAGGTGTCACACAAACAGCTGTCCACCTCCGGGTTTCCAAGGCTTGGGGTGCTACAGTGCTAAAGGATTCAACTCTTAAAGCAGATGGAAAGGGTGCCCATTGCTGCCACTTCATACAACTTCTTCCTTGACTCAATCCCAGTCCCTCCCTAGAGATGCCAGGTGGGCTATGAGGTGGGTCTGATTATGGGTTTACAGGATCACGTGACACAAAAGAATGCCACTGGATAGACCAACTCCCAGTTAACAAGGGCAGTTACTTGGGCTAGACTGTGTGGCCTCTTTGAAGGTCTACCACAAAAGTCTGATTTCATGGGTGTACTGAGAGGAGTCCTGACTTAGCAGGAAGCTCAAGTAAAGAATTTTATGGACAAGAATTTTATGGGACAAGAGACTCTTATGAGGAAGGCAAATAACAGACTGAAGGGAAGGGCATTTGAAAAGTGGTGAAGATGTGAGAAGAAAAAAGACTTTACATACTATGTCCACACCCTCTGTAGAGAGGGTATAAATGCTCCTAGAAGAAGGAGTCCTACATGCTCCTTGGAGAGCTGGGACTCTGTTTTCAGCTGGGTGACTTGCTCCCTCCCAGCACCATGCCTTACAACTGCTACCTGCCCAACCTGAGCTGCCGTTCCAGCTGCTCCTCCAGGCCCTGCGTGGCCCCCAGCTGCCACAGCACCCCCCTGCCCGGGGCCTGGAACATCCCCGCCAACGTGAGCAACTGCGGCTGGTTCTGCGAGGGCTCCTTCAATGGCAGCGAGAAGGAGACCATGCAGTTCCTGAATGAACGCCTGGCCAGCTACCTGGAGAAGGTGCGGCAGCTGGAGCGGGAGAATGCGGAGCTGGAGAGCCGCATCCAGGAGCGGTGCCAGCAGCAGGAGCCCCTGATGTGCCCCAGCTACCAGTCCTACTTCCGGACCATCGAGGAGTTCCAGCAGAAGGTGAGGGGCCTTGCTGCCATTGCTAAGCAAGGGGAGTTTGCCATGATTGTCAATCTGTGGTAGAGAAGTGTGTTTCTTGCCTCTGTGTCATCTTGACTCTAGTTTCTCCTCTTTACTGCCCTCACTAAGCGCCCTCTCATTCTCCAGATCCTGTGCGCCAAGTCGGAGAACGCCCGGCTGGTGGTGCAGATTGACAACGCCAAGCTGGCCGCAGACGACTTCAGGACCAAGTAAGTTCTTTCAGAATGTGCACTGGGGTCCACTTCTTTTGTTAACTCTCCAGAAGAAAAGGGATTCCCGTAGCTTTATTGAATAACAGTTTGATCCGTTGGTCACAAAGGATTCTACAGGGATTGAGGGGAGCACAGCTAAGGAATCACCAAGAGATGAGGGCTCAAATCAATCTATTGCTTTTGGATCCATATTGGGTCTTGATAGCCTCCAGAACCCTCTGTCTCCTGGTTTCACTCATTGCAGAAAGTGGAAAGACAAGCGGAATGGGGTTATCAAAGATCATCCCTGGGAGTCTTGGAGGTCTGCCAGCTACTGTTCTCATCTTGTCCTTGTGCAGGTACGAGACGGAGCTGGGCCTGCGGCAGCTGGTGGAGTCGGACATGAATGGGCTGCGCAGGATCCTGGACGAGCTGACCCTGTGCAAGGCCGACCTGGAGGCCCAGGTGGAGTCCCTGAAGGAGGAGCTGCTCTGCCTCAAGAGGAACCATGAGGAGGTGAGGCCGGAAATGAGAAATGAAGAACCCTGATTTAGTCTCCTGCTGAGGTGGCTTTAGTGATTTCCTTTTAAAACACCAACAGTTCATAATGACAGAAAAAAATGAAGAGATGAAACCTATACATGGTCCCAGATAAGTTGTCTCTTTCACTCATAATTGGATTTCCCCGAACACTCCCACCAGCTTGTGATTGGTCGCTGTGTTGCAGAATGCCCACATTGGCGGGGGTGTTCCAGGCCCCATTGTTGTATTCACGCTATGCAAAGTCATTTCTCACCACGAAGAGCCAAAAGAGTCTCTACTCTTTCAAAGTCTTGGTGAAGAATAATCCGGGGCTCCTTCTCTCTCCTGGGATTAAATTATTCTCTTACTTGATGGCAAGAATTATTTGATGCAAACTGGGAAAGTAGAGGATTAGTCTGACATTCAGTGGCATCCAAGCAGGTCCTGGAAAATATGTATCTTTTAAAAATGGTTGACACTATTACAGATGTCCCCTATTTCCTCCCCCTTTGCCCCCCTCCACCCAACTACCACTCCTCTACCCTCTGAGATGTGTCAGTCTGCTCCATGTTTCCACACCTATGGTCATATTTTGTTCTTTGAATCCTGGTGGGCACAGTCATGGAGAGGAGGGAGCTGGGCCTACATGGAGCACAGATCACCTTGCCTTGAACCGTCAGAGATTGTTCCACTAGGTTTCTTTCCTGAGGAAACAGACTAACCGGCTTCAACAAACAATGCCATTCCTTCGAGTCTGTTCTTCACTGAGGATAGTCACTCTTGCTTTTTCTGAATCCACAGGAAGTCAACACTCTGCGTTGCCAGATTGGAGACCGCCTCAATGTGGAGGTGGACGCTGCCCCCACCGTGGACCTGAACCGTGTGCTCAATGAGACCAGGTGCCAGTATGAGGCCATGGTGGAGACCAACCGCAGGGACGTGGAGGAATGGTACACCAACCAGGTGGGCATCTCAGCACATGATTACCCAGAATCTTGGAACCCTTAAGGCAGGATCTGATCCTGTCTCTTACCTCTGGTGTTTCAGACCCAGGAGCTGAACAAGCAGGTGGTGTCCAGCTCAGAGCAGCTGCAGACCTGCCAGGCGGAGATCATTGAGCTGAGACGCACGGTCAACGCCCTGGAGATCGAGCTGCAGGCCCAGCACAACCTGGTGGGTATTGTTCAGACCTGCTGGTGAGAAAGTGAGGTTGGGGAATCAGAGTCACAGGGCAACTCTTTGGGTCATAGTCTCTTTAACTCTGGAAGCTTGTGACTTCTATGGAACCTTATGGGGGACATGCTAAAGATAGCAGCTCTGTGACATTCTTCCTCTTCAACACACAGAGGGACTCACTGGAGAACACGCTGACGGAGACGGAGGCCCGCTACAGCTCCCAGCTGTCCCAGGTGCAGTGCATGATCACCAATGTGGAGTCCCAACTGGCTGAGATCAGGGGTGACCTGGAGCGGCAGAACCAGGAGTACCAGGTGCTGCTGGACGTCCGGGCCCGGCTGGAGTGTGAGATCAACACGTACCGGGGCCTGCTGGAGAGCGAGGACTGCAAGTGAGTACCTGGCTGGGGGTGTTTGATGAACACACACACACACACACACACACACACACACACACACATACTTCTCAGTCGGACTCCAGGGAAAGATTGCATGCCTTGAAAAGAAAATTATGACTTCACACCAGACATGCTCAAGCAGAACTCAGGGAACACAATATGGCCATCACTGAAAACATAAAACGGCAAGAATTGTTTAATGTACAAACTGAAATTTTCCAGACAATTCTTTGCATTCTAATGTGATAATATTGATGATATTTCTTATGTTTTATAATACTGTTTTCTGTAGATGGTACATTTCCACCCACTACCTCATCTGGCCTTATGTACAGTTAAGAGCAGGCAGGCTGGATCAGTCTTCTCCCCATTCTGTAGGGGAAGAAACTGGGCTTAGAGAAGTTAAGGGAATTTCCCAAGGTCACCAGCTGGGAATAGACAGTGTTGGGAGTCAAAGCCACAGTTTCAGAGTTTCTGTCTAGAATTTTGGCGCTATATGGTAGGGAGACCATGAGAAATTTGACCGTGAGTTTTGTAGCCGCTGAGCCTTTAGCCTTTCTGTTATAGGTCAGGCCAAGTCCAGATGGGCATTCCATTCTTGGGGTCTCTCTGGTACGTATTATAAGCCTCCCTCAATTCACCTTTCCACATCATTCTTTTCTCCAGGCTGCCCTGCAACCCCTGCGCCACAACCAACGCCTGCAGCAAGCCCATTGGGCCCTGTGTCTCCAATCCCTGCACACCTTGTGTCCCCCGCCCCCGCTGTGGACCCTGCAGCCCCTTTGTGCACTAAGGGCTGCCAGAGGAGCCAGGAGGCAGGGCCCAGGGCTCCAGAGCTTTGACCTGGCCCTGGTTCATTTGACACAAGGGCCTGAAGACACAATTTGCATGGCTGGAAACTCACCCAACCTACTCTAGATCATTCATTCCCTGCCCCACCTTGCCTTCACCAGGGTCTGTTCCTTCTCTGCTTGTCCAGAGAACCCTCCCAGCACCAGCGGCCTTCCTTGGAACTTCCTAATAAACTTGACTTCCCTGGCAAAGCAGACGCCTTTCTCATTGGTATTCATGTCTCATTGGTATTCATTTGTTTCACCACACCCATCCCTGGAGCACTCTATAAAAAGCCACTTGAAAGTCAGGCCATATAATGACCTGACTCTTGGATACAGAGCCGTTTTATGCTCGGTGGGCAGAGGGCTGGCCTGGCACCCATGGGTGAGGCAGGGTGGCAGGAGGGAGGGCAGGGTAGCGGCAGGGCTAGGGCTCCTCTCTCCCCCTGGCCATTCCTAGATTCTCCCCACCCCCACCCCTCTTCTCTTGACCTGACATCTCCTAGAGCTGATTATATTCAAAGGCATGAGCTGGAGGCCAGAGAGAGAGGTTCTCTGGAAAGCTCATCTTCTCTAGGCAGGAAGTTATAGGGTCGGCACTGTATCACCTGGGTGACTGGGGGTCCCACAGTCTCAGGATCACCTAGTGAAGGGACCCTCTGCTGTGCCCAAGGCTTCCTCCTTCCTCCTGTGTAGGTGGATCATTACCAGCCTGGGCTTCGGCTACTCGCTTCCCCTCTGTGCTCTGGGGCTTAGAGACCCCTCAACTCCTCACTTGATACCCCTGCCTTTCTCAGTGCAGCCCAACCAGTACCTGATGAATACCTGCCCCATGCAGACCCGGGGCTGCAGGGAGGGGAGACACATAAAGAAAAAAAAACAGTCCTGGCTGCAAGTTATTTACAATTTGTTAAAAGTCATAAAACCCAGGTAGTGCTGTTATAAGCCAGAGTCCCTGGCCCTGTGACCAAAGGCTGGAGAGGCAAGCAGATCTTGGGGTACTGAAGGTGACAGCAGCACTCATCAAGAATGGGGATCTTTCTTTAATTTCTAATGAAGAGCCACGGAAGTGATAAGCATCCACTTGCTAAAACCTCAGAGGACCATTTTGATAGGAAGGGATCAGAGACCACAGAGGGGTCTAATTTTCCCCACTAATTTGCCCATCACACCAGGCTTCCTAAAGCTGGTATCAGACCCCACGTTAGTGAAACACAGTCTCGTGTACTAAAATAATAAAATGGGTTGAAAAAATATATATATATATTTTAAATAAAGCAACTATTTATTCCTTCTACTATAACTTCCCCCTTGATCCTTTTCTTAATCCTTATTTTCAAAGCTCAAATTTCGGGATGGATTCAGATTTGCATGTTTGGCCACTTGATTTGTGAGAAGCCTCTGACCTGAACTTCCGTCTCCCATGTGGTTGGCCACCAAGTCTGTGATTTCCTCCAAATCCAAGGTCAAGTTCAGGTCAGAGGTCCTGCCTCATTTTGCTTGTTCATTGATTGCATATCCTGCTTACATATATTATTTTACAATAATGCTGGTGTAATTCTAAAAGCTCATGGGGTAGGCAAAATAACTGCTCCCCTCCCCTGCAAAGGTGTCCATGTCCCAGTTCCTGGAACCTGGAATATGTTAGTTTATGCACAGAGGGACATTAAGGTTGCAGATGGAATTAAAATCGCAAATCAGCTGCCTTTGCAATGGGGGGGGGGGTTGGTGGGTGGAGAGATTTATTCTGGATTAGCTGGTGGGCCCAATGTAATCACAATGGTTCTTAAAAGTGGAAAAGGGAGGGAGAAGAGAGCCAGAGGGAGATGTGACTGTGGACACAGGTCCGAGCGATGTGACAGGAGAAGCATTTGACCCATCACTGCAGGATCTGAAGAGGGAGCAAGGGGGCTCCGAGCCAAGGAATGCAGTAGCCTCTGGATGCTGAAGAAGGCAGGGAAATGGAGTCTTCCCTGGAGCCTGCAGAAAGGACCACAGCCCCACCAACACCTTCATTATTTTTTTAAAATTGTGGTAAAATATATATAACAGAAAATGTACCACTTTAACCATTTTTAGTGTATGATTCAGGGCCACTACGTGCATTCACACTGTTGTACAGCCATCACCACCATCCATTTCCAGAACGTCTTCATCATCCCAAACTGAAACTCCGTACTCATTAAACCTCCCAATCTCACCTGCCCCAAACCCCTGGTAATAACCTCGATTCTACTTTCTACCTGTCTGAGTTTGACTATTCCAAATATTCTCTTTTCTAAATCCCCACTCAACTCTGAGCCAGGAGTGTATCTTCTACTCAGCTCTAATTGATACTCTCTGGCCCCAGGTCCCTTCTCGGTTGGCATGTCCTGTGAGTGTTCTTTGGTGATCTGTTTTATTGGCTCCTGAGCTTTCTTGGACTGAACTCTAAGCCCACTGGGCATATCACTCTCCGATGTTTGACTTTTACCCAGGCTTACAAGCTAAATATTTTTGCTGATTCTTTTTCTTTCTGTTTCCCTGAAAATTTTATATTTGCTATGGGATAGAGATAAAGCATCTTTTTTCATTCTTGTACCTGGGGTCAAAGTCATTGTTGGAGCCCTTTAAGGCCTGAGGCTGCTGTCAGCATCGACAGGCAGGATAGCACTGCCCAGGAGCCTCAGCATTTTCTTCTATAAAAGCCCATTTCATTACTTCCAGGAGTCACGCCTCATCACAAGCTTGTGGCATTTGTCACTTTTTAACCCCCATTCTACTGAGAAGCAAAACAATATGTCTGTCCTCAGAGCTGGCATCGAAATTCATGATCTCGTTTCCGTGTCTTCTTCCAGTTCTTGTGCTTGGACACTCCCTGACCTTGTCTTGTCTCATCTCTCTAATTCAGAGATCAGCAACCGGTGGTCTGTGGACCACTGGTGGTCCATGAGATCCAAAAGGTTGGCAACTGCTGTTCTAATTCACAAGGAGGTGGGATGGCCCAGGCAGACTTGAATCTACCTACATGTGCCATTGGACAAGTTAAATTTCTTCCCAGTGTCTCAGATTCTTCATCTCTGACATTGATGACAGCAATAGAATCCAAACTCTTTGGGTGAGACAGGAAGACAGGAACACTATGTGTGAAGGGTCCCATAGGCTACCTGACTAGAAAGTGATCTGTTGGGACTCATTTCCTTCCTGCCTCACTGTCTGTGCCTTCGTCGTTTTCTCTTCCATGAATTCAAGTCCTTCTAGCTATAAAATTCTTTGATTCTAGGCCATGAAACTCACTGCTGAAGTGAACTTTCACAGGGCTAAAAGTTCAAGGCTAGGTAGGCCTCCTCCCAGATACTAAGTCACCTTAGCTCATGCCATTGTGCATTTTCATTTGTTTAGATGCTAAAAACACACCATTTCATTTCCAATCTGGATATACCAGCCAATTATAAAAAAAGGATGGCATTGCCCTGTAGAGAAAAGCTGAGTGTAACTTGGTCTTAGTTCAGGAAGGTGAGAGGACTGCTTGGGCAGAGAGGCCTGAGAAGGGCTGATGTGGTTAGTAGGGGTTGGGTAACAGGGTCCCAGTAGGGACCAGAAGCAAAAACTACGAGTGGGACAATAGGCAGAAATTAATCCAATATTTCTGTCCCCTAGAAAAATCAGAGAAACTTCTGTGCCAAATATTTTGCACTGTGTTTAGGTATTCAGGCTCAGGAGTTAGACAGCTGAGTAGTTTAAACCCCAGCTCTGCCATTTATTGGCCGTGGCTTGGGAAGATTCTGAGCCTTTCCTAATCTGTGTCTTTATCTGTAAAGTTGGACAGATTTTATAGATCAAACTTATAGAGTTGTTGGAAGGATCAACTGAGAATTGTGCCCTAGCACTTAGCACCTTGTTTGGCACATAATAAGTATTTATGAAATGGTATCATCATCTTCATCATCATCACCATTGTCATTGTTATTATGAATACTTGCACGGAAATGTAAGGCTGGAGGATTCCCAGAGGATGAGTAGAGCCCATTTCAATGCCAGTACAAGAAAGGAGGCTTTGGTGGCAGTACAACCCCATGTAAAGAACTTGTCCTCCTCAAGAAGTACCCCAAATAAGATAACCAAACCCACAAGATCAGGAACTTAACAAAGAATGTGGGGACCATGGGCCATCTGCCAACTTTCTATTCCGGTCACCAAGTTAGTGTTAAAATTTGCATTTTTGTTGATTAATTTATGAGTATAGTTGTGTGCCCCTAGTGCTTGCAAGGTAAGTGAATGGGGTTTGATCACTACTGGGTTGGCATGGGCAACCTGTCCAGGTGTCTGTTCAACAAAATTGAATTTTCACAAAATTCTTCATCTGAATAATCTAGGCCAACAATAGGAAGGAGGAAGGTTACAGAAATGATCACCATCACCCCCTTGCCCAACCATATTCACACACAATATCTTATTTAACTTGAGCAACAAAACTACTATTACTTCAATGTAAGAGATGAAGAAAACAAGTCAAAAAGGGAACTCACTTCTTTGAGGTCATATCATCAGTGAAGATGTGAACTGAGGTCATTTAGCTTCAGACATATACTTTTCTGTTCCTTCCCCACTGCCTTTGAATCTGGACACATCCTTCTTAACTTATCTACATTGTGTTCCACAAATGATCTTTTAGGAATTCTTTCTGAACCATGATTTTGTTTCTGTGCAAAACAAAGGACAGATATAGTGACAGAAAATAGGTGAGATGGGAGGGCTACTTTGTTAAGATTCATTATTGGGCAAGAGGGAGATTCCCAAGGGTTTTGAAATGTCAAAGGGTATATGATCCCAGAGATGATGGAGAATTATACACACTCCTCACAGGTGGTGTCCCCTTCTTAGGGACAACAGAGTGAAACTGCATTCTCATGGGCGCTGAGACTTGTTCTGGGAATATCTCATGTTGGCAGAGCCACACTACTAGGGTTGTTCAATGCTCTCAGTAAGAGGATTGAGTATACGAATAAGGCAAGAGAAATTTCCAGAGACTTTGAGATAAGGTCACTATGGATACAAAGATAGCTCTGAGCACCTCATTCAGGTTTCCCTTTCTTGTTACGTCTGAAGCATTTGCGTCAACACTGCCACCTGAACTCTCTGTGAACTATTCCCAGCATGTTTCCCTCTATCCATCTCTTCTCTTTCTCATCTTGGGGAGATTGTTGCTTCAGTGAAGGTT